TCACCGCAGCCCCCTCAGTCTGAACGACGGGGTGCGTCTGTTGGAGCGTCTGTCAGAGAGGATCGGCCCTCTCCACCGGCGCCTTCATCAACATCAGGTAGGACCGAGGACGCCGGCGGCCCTGAACCCTCACTAACATATGTGAAACACCTCCGATGCCTCTGGAGCCTCCTGAGCACGTTTGGTGGATCCCTGACTTTTATTTCATGGGGTTAACCTAAATCTTTGGCCCTGACGCTGAGACATAAAAGCGTGTGGAGCTGAGCAGCATGGTGCTGGTTTCTGCATGATTTTATTCTGCTTACCTTTTCCCTGCTTGGACTAACCTTTGCACCTGACACTGACCCCTGACTTTGACCTAAAACTTTCTCCACCTTATCAAGTTGTTTTGGTCTGAAAGTCTTTATTCAAGTCCTCATAGCTCCCATAAAGTGGCTGCTAGTCGTCCACACAGAGTAAGAATAAATAAATAATCTAAAAATACAAGTCATGTTTGTGTGAAGAGGAAAAGAAAAGAGTTCAAATCCCACATTATCAAACTGAAAGAAATAGGGGATCTGATTTTACAAGTAAAATATTGTGTTTTTAATTCTATTATATCATTAAGTTATTTTATATTAGATTATTATATCAATATATTATTTTATTTTATATTATTATATCATTGTGTTCTTTTATTATATAATAATAATATGTAATTACGTTGGTAAAAACATAATATTATGTTAATGTATATAATATAATCATACAAAAACTGCCAAAAAGAAAAGAAAAAATATGAAAAACAAGAAGTGAATAAATAACTTGATGTGATTAATAATAGTCTTTATGGAGCCGACGTAAATTACAATTAACTGCAATCAATTTCCATTAAATTCAGACGTAAAAAAAAAAAAGAAGATCATTGTGAAGCTAAAAATGTAAACAATAATCCTAAATTACAGAACACACCAAGAATAAAAGATTATGAAAAACGTCCCAAACAATGAAAACTGAATCCTGAGATAAGGAATAAAAAATACTTTAGAATATCCATGAAACAAGTTGATTTGAAGTAAGAACACTGAAATATTGTTGTTGCTCTGACAGATGTTTTCACCTGTCACAAGACAATAAAACGGAATGAAACCACTTAATTACAGAAAAAACAATGCGTTGCTAAGATGAGGTGGAGATTTTTGCAGTGAAGAAACCAGAATAAACATCTGCTGATGAAGCTGGGTCTAGTTCCGCTTCACTGTTCATGTTTAATATTTCAGTTATTCATCCAGAGTTATAAAAACACAGCCGAACAAGTTTAAAACACAATATGTTTGAATACATGAAGCAGAAAGCCAGAGTTTTCTCTGTAAAACCACAGGTAGAGGAAGTATTTAGATCCTTTACTCAAGTAAAAGTACTAACACCACAAAATGCACCAAAATATGTGAAACTCCTGCATTGAAATTGCTTTTTTAAGTAAAAGCATTTACACTAGACTTAAAGTATTCCAAGTTAAAGTATTTAATGCTTAAAATTAAAAATAAAAACTATTAAGATAAATTTAAATAATTTACAGCAAACATTTGAGAAGCTGGATGCCAATTAATTTTCTGTCAATCGACTAATCGTTTCAGCTGCATGTGTAGTTTAATCCAAAAGAAAGCGCCACATATTAAAAGCTCTTCATATGTTTGGATGTACATATATTTATATTTATATTAAAAATGGCTTCATTTGTTAAGCTAATAACAAAAGCTGTAAACTAAATAGAAAAAGAACAATATTGACAGTTTAGAGTAGAAGTACAAAGTGGCATGAAAGAATATGCTCAAGTAAAGTACAAGTACCTCAGATGTGTACTTAAGTACACTACTTGAGTACTGAGTTCGGCTTTGGATCTGCTCTTGTGTTTCCTGCAGCGTGGTCGGACCTGCGATCACCTTCAGGATCAGACCGAACTCCAAGAACCTGACGGCTGGAGATGTGGCAGAGAAGGCGGGTACGTCACCTGGTGGTTTATCGATTTCAACAGTTAAAAAACAGACACAGCAGGAACACAATACTTCAAATACTACCCACACATAGTCCTTCAAGTACTCCAGGTTTGGGAGCTGAAATATGCACGTGTCAGTGTGTTTTTCAATGTTTTATTTTTGCAGTTGCAGAGAAGAACTTTCTGGAGTCTGAGACGGGCCTGAAGGTGCTGCAGGGCGGTGTCGGAGAGGTGGGTGCGCTTGTGTTTGATACCTGAGGCGTGCAAGGAAGAAGAAGTGAGAGAAGGAGAAAGGCAGCAGAGAGGGTTTAGCGTGAAAGCTGCAGGAGCAGTGAGGGATAAAGACCAAATTAGATCCAGTTGTGACGGGATGAGCGGAGGGATGAAGGTTAGAGAGGAGGAAATGAGGGCGCAGACTCTACTCTCTTTGTGTGTGTGTGTAGTAGTAGTAGTAGTAGTATTGTAATATTGATGTAGCTGGTAAAAGTAGCAAAAGTCTACCACAGTATAGAAATACTTAAGCACAATTCCTGCATTCAAAAGTAAAAGTACTCAAAGATGCAGGATGGCCCATTTTTAGAATAATATATATTATACTATTGGATTGTAATTATAGTAGTAGTTAGTAGTAGAAGTGGCTACCCCTGCTGCTACTATTACTATGTCAGTGGTGGTAGAAGTACTTATATCTCAGTATAAGCTACAATGTAAAAGTAGTGTAGAAATACTCAAGTTACCAAATAAACAAAGTGGAGTATAATATGTGCCTCTAAAATGTAGTGGAGTAAAAGTATAAAGTGGAAAAACTCAATTAAAGTACAGGTACTTCAAAACTGTACTTGAGTAAATGTACTAATTTACTCTCCATCATTTTTGAAAAAGATGATAATCTGGAAAAGCATCTTTCAAAAAACTTCAGAGCAGTTTTTTTTAACACACTTTTATTTTGAAAGTCAGTCCTGGAAGTCCAGTTGGTTTGAATTTATTTTAACTTGACAGTCTTGATTTTTCCGGAGCCCCATGTGAGTTTAGCAGGACGTCAGGAAAGTTGCTCCGCATCGTGTGTTTGGTGAGTGAAAACAGAAAAATCAGCTCATTAACACTTTATTATTATTATTGTTAAAGTAGTTTATCTATCGAGCAGTAAAGTTGAGTGAACACTTTATGCTCATTGATCACGTGTGTCACACAGTAGCCTTATAAAGATGATTTAATAACATGTTGATAGAGATCTATATGCACTTTCAATTCTTCATCTCTATATAATGTTGCAGCACTATCAGGGTGTCTGAACACTTAATAACATGTTTATAGTGACATTAATGTACTTTTTATTATCTATGGTCTGGATCATAATCTTAATAACAATATATTCCCTTGTGTACTCATTGGCCAGTTAATAAGATGTTTTATCATGTAATATTTTTGTACTTAAACTCATTTATGTCACTTATTATATTACGTATATAATGCCCCTGTAATATTCCTACAGTATAAGGATGTATCATCTCTACAGTCAGTTTAAAGTGACATTTGTGTTCTTTATACCACTTAATGTATTTGTTTAATATTTCTAAAATATATGTCTTATAGTACAATGAAGTATTTCCCTGATTAATGTTATATTTTATCATCATATCTGTAGGCCTGTAATGCTATTATATATATTGAATTGTAATGCACGTGTAGCTGTGAGTGAGTTTTACTGCAGTTTTACTGTATTTTTCCGTGTATTACCTGAGCACAGAAGCATGAATACTTTATATCGTAAGGTTTCTGCAACTCTTGTCTGTTGTCTGACAACTTTTTCTGACATGCTTAAGGAACTTTTCAGCTGTTGTGCGGCCTCTTTAAATGATTTATTCTTGCATTATAAGCAGCGATGCGGCTTGTAGTACCACGAATTAAAGTAAGGAGAAGAGGTTCTTCTAAAAAGCCTAAAGCAGTGAACCTCTTTAAATCCACTTGTGTCCTCCAGCCACATGTAGCCGGTCATCCATTTTCTTTTTTTCTCTTCTGTTTCACACACTGAAGCCCACTGGGGCCCCTTCATAATAGCAGGTGAAGTAGCCTTTCTACCCCCCTGAGCTCAAACTTTAATGTGTTTCAGACACCACACACACACACACTGAGAGAGAGAGAGCGCCTCACATTCCTGAGGCCCACAGGGAGGAAGGAAGGAGGAGGTCAGGAAGGTCAAGAGAGACAATTCATCCAGGGGGAAAGAGGGAGGGGAAGAAAAGAGAATGGAGGGAGGAAGAAAGGAAAAAGGATGATGAAAAGGAGGGGGAGAGACAGTCGGGGAGTGACAAGGGGAACAAAGAAGATAAAAGGATGGAGGAGAGGAGGGAAGGAGAGGAGGGAAGACGAAAGTAAGGTAGGCAAGAGGGGGGAGACTGCTTTCGCTGTTCCTTGATCTTCAAGAGGTTAAGGAAATATGTGGAGGAGAAATCATGGGAGAATCTGACTGTACTTACACTAGACTTTAAAAAATAACATCTTTATTTGCAACACAAGGAAGATACACCGATCAGCCATCGCCTGGAAGCACTGAAGCCCGTCTCCTTAGCATTTAGAGAACTCGACCAGCTCTTATCACAGCTGCCACCTGATACCGATCATTTCACTCAGTTAGGAACCTTCCTAAACAAAAAAAAAGACCACAGCCCAGGTCTTACAAAAAAACCCCACAGGTGAAATAGTGAGAAACCACATTGACATTTATAACATGCGAAATGTGTTTCACAGAGGATATTAGCCTATATGTGACATTGTTGTTTTCACGTGCAAAACATGAACAAAACCATGTGTGCTGTTATGATGTAAATTTATCAAATACGTAACTTTTACATGCTAAATAAATAACTACGTAGCTACAGTACATATACAACCATACATTTCTATTTACAAATAAAGAAATAAAATAGAATAAACAAAAAAGTCACGAATGAAGCAAACCTTAATGCAAGAAATCATTTTTTAACCTCAACAGCTGCTCTAAATCCTAATGAAGGTGGTTTAACCTAAAAAAAAAAGACCCACACACACACTGTAGTCCTGCATGTTGCAGCACTGAGGCACATTTTTGTCCCAGGTTCCCGCTGAGATGGATGGGAAGACATTAAAGAAGAAACACCTCCTCCTCCTCCTGCTCACACTTTCTTTTATTCAGCTGTCCACCTCGTTAGCTAACTGGGTGCACAGAAAGCAGATTCATTTTCTTTCCTGCTCCACAGAGGAATGATGGGAAAGCGCTGCCCGTGGCGACCCGAGTCCAGCCCGGCTCCCGCGTGGTGTTCTCCACGCTGGTGGCCATGGCCTGCATTGGCGGCATCCTGGTGGCGGCCATGACCATCGCCTGCCTGCGCCACCACGCCCACCGGCTGGCAGCGAAGAAGCTGGGTCTGGGACCAGAGGGGGGCAGCTTCAGCCACCAGGAGTACCAGGTGAGGAGAGAGAGAGAAGTTACAGCTCTTAAAAAGCACATTTAAATCAAACAATAAAGGACAAGTAATCATTTACTACATGTAATACACGATCATGGGGTTTAAAGGTCCAGTGTGTAATATTTAGGAGCATCCGTTAACAGAAATGCAATATAAAATCCATAACTATGTTTTCAGAGGTGTATAAAGACTTGATGAACCGTTAAGTTTTTATTACCTTAGAATGAGACATTTGTATCCACATACGTCCTCTTACATGGAAGTCCACATGTTGTGGCCCACAAGTAGCCCAAACGGAGCGTTGAATACGTACGAAGAAAAAGAAGTGTTAGTACTAGTAGTCGTCGTCGTCTGGTTTATTAGAGACGACAGAGCAGTATATAAATATCTAAGAAGGCTTTGCCAGAGGTTCTCTCTATTATATAAAGATATTAAAAGAGGACCACGACAGTTTTCACAGCCTTTTTGTTGTTGGATTTAGAAATTAAAATGAAATAAGACATTGTAGATGCCTGCGTGTTGTTTAAACGCTCTGATAATGCTAATCCAACACATCTTTGCAGTGGCGTCCATGTTGATTCCACATTCAGACTTAAGAGCACTTGAACACACCCTGAAGTCTGAAGAACGACTTCACAACTCGGGAAATGGGACCATCTGAGGAGCACGTGAATGCACCGTGGGCCACTGGTTGCAGTTCATAACCCTCACCTCTAGATGTCGCTAAAACGTACACACTGAACCTTTAAGAGCTGTCAGATTGGAGATTAACTAAATACAGTGAACGTCTCTGCAGGGTTAGGCGTTATAAATTTTATTTATTTGACTTTTCGTTTGTTACAATGCCTAAAATATAATGTGTGTGCGGAAGTAACATAGATGACACACTGCAAAGCTGACATATATCAGAGACTAGTTGGTGAACATAGTGGAGCATTTAGCAGCTGAAGAGCCAGATATTTACCTCAGGAGGTGGTAGAGATCAAAAATAATAAGATATTATTATATTATTATTATATTGCATTCATGAGGTAGACACAGAAACAACTCCAAACTACTGCTAATATGAATGTTATAAGGTGATAATGTGTCAGCTTGTGGAAATGCTCCCAAATAGCTTTAAAATGAGTCTGTGCAGGTTTAAAGAACATTATAAAAACGCAATATTTAAAATAATGTTATTAAAATAAACACAACAAAAGACATTAAATAAGTAATAAAACATATAAAAAGCTCTGTGAAAAACCCAGAAACTAAATAAAGCAGTGTAACAACACGATACATACATAACTGGCTCACCAGGACCTGTGTCGCCAGCACATGGCCTCCAAAGGAGCCTTCGGACGCATGGAAGCCGCTGCCCTCGGCGCCGTGGGAGGTGCGAGCGGAGGAGGAGGAGGAGGAGGAGGAGGAGGAGGAGGAGGAGGAGGAGGAGGAGGAGGTGGAGGTGGTGGTGGTGGAGGAGGAGGGGGTGCTGGTGTCGGGGGAGGAGGAGCAGGAGCAGCGGGAGGAGGAGGTGCAGACTCGAGGGTGAGCAGCGTGTCGTCCCAGTTCAGCGACGGAGCCCAGCCCAGTCCGAGCTCCCACAGCAGCACGCCGTCATGGTGCGAGGAGCCGGCGCAGGCCAACATGGACATCTCCACCGGTCACATGATACTGGTCAGTGCCACGCAGCGTGTGTTTGTCATGTGATCACTCTGAGGAGGCGCTGACTGATGTTTCAGGTCTAAAGATGTCCGGAGGATAGAAGGCTGAAAAACTATTTCACAAACACAAATTTAAATTTAGTTTTTCTGTTGAATTACTAAATAATTGTACCTCCACAGTAAATACTGAAGACATACGCAGCCTGTAACAACACATTTACAAACACATTCACTATTTCAACCAAATTCAAGCAGAGTTTTATTATGTTTTACCTCTTTTGAGCTGCAAATCACTAAATCAACGCTAACTGGATTCCTTAAGAAAATATTTAGGACCAGTTCACCCGGACTGCTCATTTATTCATGCAGTAGTGCAAACAATTTAAGGATTAACCGTGTTTTAAAGTTCATTCTTGACCTTGGAAACAGTAGTGTGTTCAATCTATCAAAGTCAAACATGAAAAATTACCATGAAAATGTCCTTTTCTACTTTTACAAACAAGCTCAAATCAGCAAGTAGTTCAAATTTCTAAAGTCTGATTTAAAAGTCGATTTTACTTTCAGTTTTGGGAGACTGGACAGATAATTGGCTTTAAAATGTTTAAGGGGAATTCATGAGAAATTGACCTTCAAAGATGGACAAAATATTTATATGAATATTGAAAATGTTAAAATGTTTTGTTTCTTTTCTTTTGTTGTTGTTCTGACTTTCAAAAGAAAGTCTAATGTAGTTTAAGTTTCAAACACCTTTTACCTGCTGAGAAATGTGCAGCAGGAGAGGAACTTTAGAAAGAAAGAACTTTATACAATATATATAAGTTTTTAACAAGTTTACAAAGTGCTCAACAAATAGATAGTTTGTATTCATTTGTATTACAAACAGCAGTCTTAGGAATATTTTTACAGCAGCAGTGGCTTGCTAACACCCCTCAGGCCTACATGGAGGACCACCTGAGGAACAAGGACCGTCTGATGAAGGAGTGGGAGGCTCTGTGCTCCTACCAGGCCGAGCCCAGCGCCGTCTCTGTGGCTCAGAGCGACGCCAACGCCAAGAAGAACCGCTGCCCCGACTCCGTGCCCTGTGAGTCCCAACAGCTGCTTCGCTTCCAGTCCCACCGATGATTGATTTAAAACCTTTTAACAGCATGTCACACGTCAGATCCCAGATTTTCAGGGCCGACTTTAGGGAGAAATGTGTCTAAAATGATGCACGAGACATCTAGAATATCAATGAAGCACAAATTTATGTGTTATGAAGTCAGACGGGCTGGAATAGGATGATTTTAACGACCTTAAAGCTTCTTGAGGGAAAATAAAAGGGGGCATGTTAAATAAATAAAGGAGTTAAATGTCACTGTTGTCCTTCAGATGACCACTCGAGGGTGAAGCTGAAGGCGGAGGTCAACCCGTCACGCTCTGACTACATCAACGCCAGCACCATAGTAAGTCTGTGGTGGTCACCATGGTAACCACATTATTCCTCTGGGAGAGCTCATGTTTGACCCGCTGTTGTTGAAGAAACGTGATCCGCGGGAGGGGAATTAAAGCCCTTCTTGTTTTTGTTTGGTGAGTTTATCTCGTCATCCATCCACTCCCAATCAGTCAATCAGAGATCAGTATGCCTCCCACAAAATAAAATAACCTGATCCACCAAGTAACGTTTGAAACGAGACACTGCCGGTGATGAGAAAGGGTCAAATGTTTCCCAGTAAATTATGGATTATGAGCTGAAGTTCTGCACAGCATTAAGTTTTAGTATCATGACTCTCAAAACCTGAAAACCAAGATTAGTGTTTTTGTTTTTGTAGGAGGCCTTAATATTTAAACAGTAAAAATATATCAACCTGTTGACAACAGAAACCTGTACCTGCAGGTTGAAATATTCTTACTGCACTGACTTTAAGAAAATAAGACTATTAGGACTCTAATCCCAGACAAAATAAGGTGTTTTCTGCAGTGAAATAAATGTTATTTCTTTTCTGGGCCGAGATAAGATATCACACTGATCTGAAAGGACACCAGTTCAATTTAAAGAGCTAGAGTATCTTTCTCGTGCATGTCCTCCACACTTCCTGTGTCATGCATTAGCACCACAGCATCTTTAGCCAGGTCAATCTTCTCTTATTCCATTTAAAAGATTAATTTAGCCTCAATATGTCTCCAAACAATCTGATGCTCCTGGTAAACGCACTGAAAGCAGAAAGAATGCAGTCGCTGCCACCATCTTAGCTGGTTTCTCTGGTATCTGACAATTTGTGCTCAGCCCCGAGGCGACCTTTGACCCTGTATAACCTTTCATCCCCCCGCCCCCCTTCAGATTGAGCACGACCCCCGGATGCCTGCCTACATCGCCACCCAGGGCCCCCTGTCACACACCATCTCTGACTTCTGGCAGGTCAGTGAGACGCAGAATTAAACCTTCTAGTTTGTGCAGATAAATAAAGTAGTGCTACTGCGTACATGGAGGGGTGAATTCCAGTTATTGTTGTGCAGATGGTGTGGGAGAACGGCTGCACCGTGATTGTGATGATGACGGCCCTGGTGGAGGACGGAGACAAGCAGTGTGACCGCTACTGGCCTGATGAGGGCTCGTCCCTCTACCACATCTATGAGGTGAGGACAGTGTCAGAGTGGGAGAGAGCGAGCCAGGGAGGACGTTTCCGATCAGTTTTCAGCAGCTGTCATTTTTTACTGCTCTGCAGGTCAACTTGGTGTCGGAGCACATCTGGTGCAACGACTTCCTGGTGCGGAGCTTCTACCTGAAGAACGTGCAGACGCAGGAGACCAGGACACTCACGCAGTTCCACTTCCTCAGCTGGCCGGCACAGGGCATCCCCACCTCCACACGCCCCCTGCTGGACTTCCGCAGGTACTGACGCTACCTGTTTATCCACACTTTGACACTAAACGGAGAGACAACGTTATTAAACAGTGTAAAATTTAGCTGCATTACTGAGGTGTTTATGCATCGTAATATCAATAAATTAAGACACTGACAGCTGATTAGCCTGGGTCACATATGGACGCACGGAAAAGACCTCTGGGAAGCCCTTTAGCGTCATTCATGAAAGCTAAAAGCAGGTGTAGGATATAAAGAAGATAAGCCCTACACATCCAAAAATGGGATATGGGAAATGAGATTGGTCTTGACCAAACGTCCATACGATACGCTGTCAGTCATGATAAAAGGTCAAATGTTTCCCAGCAAATTTTAGATTTTGAGCTGAAGTTCTGCACAGCATGTAGTTTTAGCATCATGACTCTTAAACCCTCAAAAGTCGGAAGATTCAAACTAAGATTAGTGTATTTGTTTAAGTAGGAGAGGCCTTAATACTTCCTATCAAACCTAAAGTGCTAAAAACCTTATTTCTTTTTTTTTTTTAATTAGGCTTTGTGCAGTAAGAATTTTTCAACCTGTTGGCTTCAGAAATCAACTTATTTCAAGACTTTTCTGAAAGCGAGTGTTTGTACCTGCAGGTTGAAATAATCTTACTGCACTGACTTTTAGAAAATAAGACTTATAAATTAAATAAATGAATAATAACTAAATGCTATTTCTATTCTGGGCCGAGCTAAGATATCACACTGATCTGAAAGGTCGCCGGTAGTTCAATTTTAAGAGTAAAGTACTCTTAAAGATAGAAAACACAAGCTAGTGTATCTTTCTCGTGCATGTCCTCCAAACTTCCTGTGTCATGCATTTGCGCCAGAGCATCTTTAGCCAAGTTAATCTTCTCTTATTCCATTTAAAAGGAGAATAAAGATGAATTTTTTTCTCAAGGTTTTCCTTTACAAACACTTCACCGTCTTTAAACTCTCAACACTTCATCTATGATTCTCCCGATTCAAGAAACATG